GTCCCTTTTTTTTTTTTTTTTATAGTTTATATTCCACTCTTCTTCCATGATCCATGTCAGCATGCTCCAGTTTTGGTCTAAACATACTCTGTTTCCTGCCCGATCCTTTTATCTGTCCCCCTTATCAGGTCCACCTTCCTCCTTTTTATTGTTTGTATTGAACAACCTACAACCTACACACACGCCTGGCACACCACACTCACACACAGCTTTTATTTTTCAATTTGTCCCACACACCTATATATACAACAACAGTGCTTCTTACTTACTTCATACAACTAGACAGCATTATGTAATCCAAACCGCGGTCCAGCTTCTTGCATTGTATATTAAACTTACTTTAAAATAATCGTCTCCCATGCTTTAACCTTTTCATTACTTTAAGTTTTAAGGTTATAGTCCGTGCCGAACCACAGCCACGTTGACACTCTTCTCTCCACTATGGTATTGTGGACTGGCATTCGTTGGTACTTAGATCATTACTAAGTCGTGATTTTTTTAGTTCAGCGTAAGATTACATACAATCACGTTTTCTTGTCCAGGACATACATTAATTTTACGATATTTATTGTTTTTTTGTTTCCAACTTTTTGTTCGACGCCCCACAATTTTCTTCAAATCTTTATTTGTTGTCTGTCTTTCTTATTTTATTGTAATAATATCTTTTAATATGAATTAAATTATAATTATTATACACTTTCCTTATCAAATTTCAGCTTCATCACTTTTATTATTTTTACTTTACCTTTGTTTTGTTTTTTACCACTCGTTATCCAAATCACTCCTATCACTTATATTTTTGTACCTTATTTCATTTTCGATTATGTATTCTTCTAAATTGCACGTTTCTTTATTTTTTATCGTTTAATTTCATTTTTTTTTTTCATTTTTCACATTTATTAATTTTATTTATTTTAATATAGCCTGTTATTATTATTGTATTTATTTATTTAACTTTATTTTTATGTTAGCTTATTTTTACTCTAACCCTGTATTACTTTCCCACCTTTGTATTGCAACTGTTGCACAGTAATTTCCCTCGGGATAAATAAAGCTTCTTGAATCTTGAATCTTGAATATCCCATCATCCTACATTTAAAAATAAGTATGCAGTTATAACGACCTAAGAACTAATAGAACAAGCATCAGGGAGAAGAAAACACTGCATTTGAAAAAAATTAAGCCTATTAAGTCTGTATGATGTATGATATATAATGATACAAACAATTGTATAAAAATATACTACGAAAGCTAATCTCTGGTGCAATATTCATGAGAAATAATCTGCTCATAATTCATCCAAATCGTTCATTTTACACAAGCTTCCTGCAGTGTTTGTGTGCACCTTTAGTTCTGCACTGTTATGGAATATCCATAAAATATGTATTTTAGTTAGAGACTGTCAGTTTAGTTAATGATAGAAAAAGGTTGGGAACCACTCTAGACCTCCAGCCACACATTCAGTATCTTGTCATTTAAAGTGGAGACATTTAATATGCACTTTTGCACACAGACACTGTTTTGAATTAATGCTACAAAACAGAATATATTAATTACAAAAGTTTTATTTATTACAAAACAGTGGGAAGGTCATGGGGATGTGTTCTGCTTTTGGACCAAACAGTGAATGCATGAAGATAAATAGGTGAATAATAACCTATACTTCTCCATTACAGATACTTTGTCACGTCAAACCAAAATTCATAAGCACACACCACTCCACGGACAGAGATTAAGGTGACAAATGACATTTAAATTCTGAGTCATACCTTTATAAAACTGCTGGGATAAAAACATAATCTTTTTAAGAAAACTCAGCATTTACAGTTTCAGACGCAGTGTCCTGTTCATTGTTAAGGTCTAGGTGCTCTCCCTCCAATTTACAGCCTCTGACAAGTTATCCACTTTAACTTTGGCAAGCTATTATACACTGTATCAACTGGCCTATTGGAAACAGCCTGTGTTAAACGTCTATCTGCGTGTTTTAAAGAGAAAATCGTCTATCCGGCAAAAGGGTTGGCGTGAATGGTCACATCCTTTATCCGGGTTTCAGTCAGTGGCCGGAACGTCTTTTCATTGACGGGCAGCTTCTCCAGTTCATCCAGAGTTTCCAGGCCATCGATGATCCTACAGGTTGAACAGAGTACAAGGTCAGCTGCACCTATTAATTATAGTCTGATCAATCAATAACAAAATGTTTCATAGCATCTCCCTCTCTCTCTCTCTCTCTCTCTCTCTCTTATATCCCCATCATCCCCGAATGTTACGTACTTTCCAAACACGGTGTACTTCATGTCCAGATGGGGCTGTTTGGCATATGTGAAGAAAAACTGGGAGCCATTTGTGTTGGGGCCATTGTTTGCCATCGAGACCACTCCTCTCACATTGTGCTGAAACAAAAGAAGGCAGAGAAAGAAGACAAACACGCGTTAAAGACGGCTCCCCTGATGATATACTAGGCGAAAACTTCTTCCTGACATAGGCCGTGAAGCTTGTACTCACTTTTAGGTGCTCACTGTACTCATCTTCAAACTTGCGACCCCATATACTTGTTCCTCCTTTACCCGTGCCTGTGGTTTAATCAAAACAACAACAACAAACAGGAAGTGAGGATGTAGATTGCCACATTTCAGTGCTTAAGAGCAGCAGGTGCAACAGCCACGGCGCGTACCCGTAGGATCTCCAGTCTGAACCATGAAACCTTTAATATTTCGGTGGAAGATGCAGCCGTTGTAGAAGCCACTGGCACACAACGCAAGGAAGTTCTGCAAGGAATAAAAAGATGGGAAACAATGTGAGCAGCTGTGTTCAGGCTTTTCCAAACAGTAGTATTATTACTACTGCAACACTTCCTGCTGACTCTAACCCAGACATTAAAACTGCAAGGCAAAAATAATCACATTATATAAAAGCAGAAATACAACTTATTTCATCCCCGATCTGAAATGAATGGGAACCAGCAGCACAACAGTTAACTCACCTCACAGGATTTCGGTGAGCGCTCACAAAACAATTCAATTTTAATTTCTCCTAGATCTGTGTGAAGGGTAACAGCCTGCAAACATTACAGAAGAAAAACACATTATTAAACGTTCACTTTTAGAGGCACAGCATTGGTCAGTCATTAGTTTCCTTCTTAGCTTAGCTTGTTGCTCCGACTGCAAACATACGCTAGTTCTCTTTCTAAAGGTTCCTCTGTGGACTGTCACACAACCGTAATAGTTAACAGCTTATTAAAACATTGTTTGACTCACATGTCGACTGATAGCTTATAGAAATATTAACAATGTATTTTACCATTTCAAACGTCGCGTCTGTGAACAAGCGTGTCGGAGAAACATGTCCGTCTAGGAACAGTAGTTCAGTGCTCAATGGTTCCGGAAGGAATTTACAGTCGTACATGGCAACACCCAAGTGACATAGGTCTGCGTATTTGTTCCCATTATACTGTGCCAATCATTCAGTTATTTACAAATATCGTGGATATATATATGTATATGTAACAGTATATATGTACATAAGAACAGCAGTAAATTAGATTTTACACATGAGATGTTGTTGAGACACGGACAGATTATGGGGAGTTCATTTTTCCATTCTCTGTGCAATGTAAACCATCTTTAAAATGTTTTTTTTCTGCTACAGTATTACCAGATTTGTCACTGGGTAATTTGATTAAATCCATTAATTTAAACATCATCAGGTAGTAAAGCAACTTAAAGGTCCTCATCATGTCAGTTGATATTGTGCTATAGTGACGCACAAACCTTCAGGAGATAATCTAGTTTTGTGTTCAAATATACTTTAACAATGGCAGCTGTTTAATTGTCGGTGGCCTAGTTTAAAGATTGTCCTATAACCAGCTTACCTGCTTTTAATGTTTCATTAAAGGTTACTTCCTAATAACTTCTGAATTATTACTACCTACACAGAGACTAATATCTTATATAGTACCTGCGCAGTCGACAGGTTCTCTGCCCAACACCGAAATACAACATTGAAACCCAACACAAACCAAGACTAATTTGATCGACCAAGTCTATTTTATTTTATTTCACCTCTAGTGGATGGTGTGCAGGAGAGGATGGGACACATGTTCAAACAGAATACTGTCACATCATTCATGTCAATACTGATTTCCTTATTAATGAAATACTTTTGGCAACCAAACACTGCATGAAGCCAAATCTGTACATCACCTATAATTTGGATTTGAGTTGGGAAACATTTGAAAAAAAAAAAGAAAAAGAGAGAGATTTGTACCCAAACATAATTATTTTAAGAGGAGAAAGAACCAAGATGAACATCAAGTCTCATGATGCCAACATACACACTCACAGATAACACTCATACACACACTTTATCTGTGCTAATCACAATGAAGACACAATTCTGAAACAACACAGCTCAGTTTATACATGGTCACTGACGAAAAACGCAGAATCAAGGTTAAACCAAGTGGTTTCTTTAAAAACACAAAACACATTTTGTTTTAAACCAGCAGTCAATATTAAATACACCAAACTAGAAAATAATGTATAGAAATGCATATAAAACTGTAACTGTATAAAACAACTGTTTAAATTAATAAAAATACCAGGTGTAATAAAAAAATAGGCAATCAACTCAAAAAAGAAGTGAGTACTAGCTGGCTTCCTGAGAAATGTATAGTTATATAATACTAATAGCTGTCAAAATGAAAAAATAACAGACAAAATGAAAAAAAAGAGGGGAAATGCAAAGGAAGAGAAGATTAACTATGAAACAAAATGCTAATTTACTGAAACCACTTTACTAGCAACCGACACAACGTATTTTTATAATGTACTGACCATCTACTTGCGGTGCTCACTGCAACGCTTCAGAATTTGACAAAAGGATTTCTGATGTCACTCTTAATTAGATTAGTTGATTGTCTTAATCGGTGGTGTATTGCTGAGGTGCTCTGGATGTCATTTCAAATGCTCCAGTTGGGACTTAAAGGTAAAAGACCAAAATCAATATATTCTTCCATGAGCAGTTTTTAAACTTAAATACTAAATCTAACAGCACTTTAATCTCAAGGCTGGCAGTCATTCAGTTGAACCTTCCCATACCAGAAAACATGTGTTGTATACATTAAGCTGTATACCATTATTTGCATTTACCTAAATGTAACGTGTGGGAGAGGTGCTGTAGTGCAAAAAGCATTTTCTAGGTTGAAAAATCTCCTCTAATCTACTTGAAATTTTCACCATCACCTTGGTAAAATGAACGCGACAAAAAGAATGCCCATGCACATTAGAAAACTACACTACTACTAACCTTTACATAGTTTAAATAAAAGCAATATTGCACAATATAGCATAGTTAAACATGTTACTGAAATAAGTGTACATAGCTTCAACTATTCCTATGCTTTTCAACCCAGTTATTGTACTGTATATTGCTACTGTCCAAGTTTTCTTTGCAGTTAGGTTTATTAAAACATAAACTGATTTTTTTTTTTGTCTCGGGGAAAACACAAGAACCCCTATTGTGTGTTGTGCTGTGTCAGAGCTGTGCATTGATCTTGAATTCCACTTTTTTTTTTTTTAGCATCGTGCTGCTTATTGTGGCAAACACAAGTGCAGAAAAGTCACTCTCAGGCAAAAAAGTATTCAACGCTACTTTACAAATGAACACACTTTGAAACCAGAGAACTAAACAATTAGATGACCTGACCAGAAAAGTATGGAGGCCCATTTACGGCAGGGGGAGAAAAAACGGAAAGAGAAACTATGAAACCATTATGAGGGACTAAGACAAAACGTTTACGGCCCAGTGGGTGTGAACACAGGACCTGCATGCTGTGAGGTGACAAGTCAAGAAACTTCCTCATAGATCCAATTTAGAAAGTTGAAATTATAATTTTGACTTTAAGATTTCTTTTTCTTGCTTTTTGTCGTTTTAGCCCCCTGACAAGGATGGGTTTCCATTAGCCAAGTGTATCTGGCATACAAAACTCCTACACAAACAAACAAATCCATCACAAAATAATATTAAAAAACTAAAAACACGTTCATTCCCAAAATGACAGTGTCACTTCAATAACTAAAATCTAAACCCAAATGCTACATTTCTAGATCATTTTTACAAATAAGACTTGTAGAAACAATATTGGATCATCAAATTCACAATGTTTATGCCCTTCAGACTTTTAAACTCTACATAAGTTGTCAGCAGTGCACAGGAACACTGTTACAGAGAGTTAAAGCTGCACTAGGGTAGAATTTAATGTAAAACTAATGTTAGCACAGCCAATGTTACAAAATGAGGCTACAACAGAAAACTATGTCTTATTAATCACATCTGAGACACCATATGTATGTTTTAATGGCCCGAATTGAGAACTGGAGTCAAGTATGCTCACTTGTGAAAGGTCAACAGAAGTGATGACATGAAGCATTAGAGCAAAATATAAAACAAAAAGGACAAAACTCTCCCGTTCCTCCCATTATCGTCTGGGGCTGGGTAGTCTAGTGCAGCTTTAAAGACATTTATCTGCATCAAAACACAGTCAACAGTACGATCATTTGTTCTCCACAGATGCCCTAACAAAAACAACAGAACGGTACAGAAGACAGGTGTAGTGAATTAAAGTTAAGGCAACTGACCTGAAAGCCATGGCTCTTTTCAAAAGTGCCTCTTAAATCTTTCGTGCTAATGACAAATAAATTTGTAGGAATTACAATTATTTTTTCATTAAATGGAATGATGCTTTTTTGTTTCTAAAAAAGCTTTAACCTTGGAGTAAAAGCAAAAATTTAAAATTTTACGACGATATAATTTCAAAAATGGCCATTTTGGACCTTATTGCAATGTTTTCTTTAACATAAAAAAACTCAGATTAAAGTACATATTCACCTTAATGGATCTTATATAGCAATTAATAGTGTTAAATTAAGGATGGCTGTAATCTCACCTTATCAAGGTAGAAACATCATATTAATAATACAATGTTATAATAAACTGAAATGAACACGAGGCCAGGCGCTTAGAAAACAGATTTATATTGTCTGGTTGTTTTACTTGTTAGTTGCAGACAACGACGCTCAGCTATCAGGACACAAGTCCAGTGCTTCACATCCAAATTATACGCAGAGTTTCAGGTACGCGTTACGTTTGTTGCAGACATATTACCGATATTTCAAGGCTGCATTTAGATGTCAATGCTGTGTGTCCTGTATAAAGTTTTAATTATTTTGACACAGACATGACTCATCTCATTCAAAACCTTTTCAGCATTTTGTTCATTTTGCTTTGTGTCCAAACAAACAAAGTGGATGCAGCATGACCATGAAATAGATTTGAATTCCCACTGAATAGTATACTGGCAGTAAGGGCTGGGTATCTGCTCGCTGATAAGATTTTCCACTAATGTAATTGTATGTGGGTGGTGTCTTGTAATACTAGTCCACTGAGTGGCATTTAGAAGAATAATTGCTTTTTCTCAAGCATTAGAGACTGAGACTGAGAGGTCAAACACACAACTCTTCCCCACACTGCACTCACAGAACTGGCTCCACGTAAGGATGGCACCCTCTGGTCTAACACCACGTTCCACTGCTAACCAAGACTCAAGGCCAACAAAAGACAACTCCACCGCCTCTGCAGCACATGCACTACTAACAGTCTCATCAATGACCCTCTCAGGCACAAGGATCTCAGAATCCAGAAACTTTCTGGACATTACTCATCATTAGTTAGTCCCTGATTTGTGATCTCACGTCATACTTTCATGATTTTTTAATCCGTTTCAAACCGAGCAAATGTTAGAAGGCCGTGATCATCGCTCTACAGCAGAAGAAGAATAACAGGACTGTGCAGTTTGTGGTATTTCTCATTCCCTATTTACAAATACGACATTTGGTGACATAACCATAGGATTTGTCAAATATTGAGTGAACATCTGCATATTTCTTGCTGAAGAAAATAAATTAAGACAGTTACTCTTGTCCGTCATGCTTTCATGATTAATTCCTTTGCATATTATGACTGGAAGTTAGTAGTTAGTTAGTTAGTTAGTTAAGCAAGCAAATGGTGGTTGCAGTTACACGATCCATACACAGGAATTAAGGAGGAGACATCTTAGAGACCACATTGCTATCTTGTTTGTAAAACTGAACAATAGTGAACTATTTGATCTTGATTAGAACTGATGTTATAGTAATTGTGAACAGTGGATATTTTTCTTCTTTCTTTTTCTATCTTCAGCAAAGATGGGCCCACAGTTCTGCATACTTAAACTTCTCCACCATAACTTAGAAGCATGAAATGTAAACACGCTGCTGATCACAATGACACTGCTACATTATTGCCTAAAATATAATTACTGGGTTATAATGAGAAGGCATGAGAAGTGTTTTGTAAAAGGAAGGAAAATAAACATTTAAGAGTTAAGAGAACAACCCCAAATCAGTGTTCTGGTTCTGCCACACTGGCCCTGGTTCTTGATACCCAACCTTACTGGCAGTACACTGCAGCGGGACTACTGCCTGCTTCAACAGGCCATCTGGAACAGTACAAGCATTCCCTCCGGTGTCGGGGCCCAGTTGGTCAGTATCTGTTCTCACTCACAGCCACAGACCTGTTCAAGCTTGTTCTTTGTCAACTTTCCATAACTGTTCCTTGACCTCCGTGGGCAGGGTGTTGAAGAGGTCCTCCTCCACAATGAGACCGGTTCTCTTTAGCTGGCGGCACTCGCCTAGCTCCACGGGCAGACACTCCAGACGGTTTCCTCTCAACTCTAGCTGTGTCAGCCCGGTCAGCTCTCCAAACCGCGATGGGAGAGACTGCAAGCAATTGTTCCCCAAGTTCAAAGTGCGAAGCTTCTTGCACTGGAACAGCTCATTAGGCAGGCTCTCAATCTGGATTTCGAGGAGGGGGAGGGTGTTGTGATGGGATAAAAACAGAGAGATATTAGAATTTATAACTTTAAAATGTTTTCAGCAGCAGACAGATTGTTGCACAAAACCTAGACATTGGAGGATGCTCACCACAATATATATTTACCCAAATCTTTAGTCCCATCGGTTAAACAAACCATTAAGGATAAAAAAAGCAATGTACAATCAACAAAGAATTAAATGAATGAAAAATAGTGATTATTTAGGTACTAACCCTGTTGGCTGTAACTGCCAGATACTGAAGATTCTGGAGGAAGCCAATGTCTGTAGGGATATACGTTAGGTTGTTATGGCTCAGGTCCAGGAAGCGCAGCTTGCGGCAATAAAACAACTGGCTGGGGATCTTCTCAATCTTGTTTCTGTTCAGGTACAGTTTCTCCAAGTTGGTCAGTGTTCCAATCTGGATGGGAATATAGGCGATCTGGTTGTACCAGAGCTTAAGGCAGACTAGCCGATGAAGGTGCTGGAAGCTGATGATCTCTTCGATGGTCTTCAGGTTGTTGTCCTTCAGGTCAATCTCCTGCAAGTTGTGCAAGCTGAAGATTGAGTGCGGTATGCGCTCTAGATCACAGCGAATGAGCTCCAGTTCTGTCAGGTTCACCATCTTCTTCAGGCTGTTGAGCACCATCAGCTTAGTGCCTTCATTATTGATGGAAAGCTTCTGGAGGTGCATGCCCACATCTGTCACCACCTGAGGTAGCTTGGTCAGATTGCTCTTCAGACGAAGAACTTTGAGCCTCTTGAGCTCCCGGAGCCCATCAATGACAATGTAACGGTTGTTCTCCGCACTCAGATTCCCTGTCAGATGGAGTTCACTAAGATTCTTCAAACTGTAGATCCATAAAGGGATCTCTTTGATGTCAGTGAACTTGATGTGCAGAGACTTCAAGTTCTCACGCAAAAAAGCCAGCGCGGGAGCTTCGATTTTGGCTGGCGTGTGGTAAAGCCACATCTCTCGCAAGTTGACCAGCTGGGCAATGATTGGGGGGATGGTTACGTCGGGGATAAGCTCCAGTTTAAGAACCTCCAGCTCCATCAGGTCAAATACTGTGTCTGGAATGCCGCTCAGCATGAAAAGGTGCAACTCCAACTTCTCCTGAGAGTTCTTGGTAATCCTCTGCCTGAGCTTGTCCAGTGTCCACTCGTTGTTGAGGTTGAGCTGCCTCAGCTTGTTTTCGCTCACTTCGGAGAGGAACACAGCGAAGCGTTTAGAGTACAGAGGGTCATACTGATCGATCATGTGCATCATGAATGCGAAGTCATTCTTCACATCGGGTATGTCACTGTAGCTGCTCTCTTCTCGGATCGACTCAAAGGAGTACTTCTTTAGAGAGCGCCGAAGCATCCAGCAAAGTGTGTACATGCAGATCAAACCATACACCACTACTAAGCTAATGTAGAAACAGGCTAAGATTTTAAAAAGTGTAGCCAGCGGGTGAGCACACCGGTACACGCTGTAACCTGTCAGACTCTCTATATTTACCGAGCAGTCAACACTGAATTGAATATCGTGCACGTAATACCCTGTATAGCAGATTATGAAAATAAACTTGATGACTTTGATGATAGTCTGACGGATGTACAGTCTGTACACAATGTCTCCCTCCTCAACGTGTATACGAAACTTCTTCACTTTCTCAAACAGGGCTTTTGCCTGTTCACCCTCTTTCTTGTCCAAAACCCCTGTTTCTGTTCTATCCACAATGCCCTGCTCAAAGCGTGTCTTTGTTCTCTGAAGCATAGGAACGCTTGCTTCAACGTCCTCACTGATAACAGACGCCTTGTGGTCCATCGAGCCGTTCATTTTCATTGGTTTTGGGTCACTCTCTTCGACCACAGTCTCTGACAGCGCCCTAGTAGTCCATGGAGAGTCGAAGCATTTCAGCAAGATGGATACAAAGTGCTCTAGTTTGGAACTAGTCCGTGGGAACTTGAACCAAAAGTTGCTGCAAGCTAGGAAAATAAGGGTGTGAAGTAATACTAGGTAAGGAAAATACTTGGCAAACCAGTGCAATCTATTCTCATAGCACACAGCATCCACATAGTTGTACTGGTGGCGGTCTAGATCATACTGGATCCCTTTGGGCTCCAGGAACAATGAAGTGGCGAGGGTAGAATTGAAGTTCTTCTTGCAGGTCTGATTGACCACCCATTTGCAGGGCAGGCATATCATCTTGTCCTGGGTGACCTGCAGTGTCCCCCCAAACACAGAAATCATAAGCATAACAATGGAGATGTAGTCGGTGAACACATCCCACCATGGTTTCAGGATGCGGTACGCTGGCTGTGTGTCTACGAAGTACCGCAGCTCAGTGATGGGGATCATGGTTTATCTGTGGAAAAAAAAATAAAGTTGAGTCAGAATCATAAGTACGGTGATGTACTGAATTGCATGGCCTTGTCAAACATAAAAACACTAAAGATTTGGCTTTCTACAAAATCTAAATGTTCTTCTCTCTAATGCCTGAATAGCCTTTACCTGAACCACAACACAATACCAAGACGACAAATCAATACCAGAACTGCAACTAACAAGGTCATACATCAGAACTTTGCAGACGGTTAATTTGAAGGCTGCCATGACTAATGAAAGAGAGATTCCCACTTGTGAAAAAGAATTGCCTGATTGACTTTACTGCGTGGGCTGCCATGTTATTGATTTAACTATTGTTAAGCAGACTCGATTAATCTTGCTTTCAAAGGGGGTCTCATACTGGACATAGCATTTCAAGTGCTTTGGCCAAATGGCAAGCCAGCCATCAATAAAATACTAAGTTCATTTGTCTGCATTTTAATTTAGTCCCTACACGATTTAGGTGAATAATTAATGGGTTGTTAAAGAAAAAGAAATGTCATACAGGCAATGACGCCGCTGCCTTGAAGCTATAAACATAATAAATGAGTAAATTAACAGAACCATCATCTCAGATTTAAGAGGCTTAATCAAGCAAAACCTATGCGCCTGATTTTCATTGGGAGAGCAGCGTTATCAGCAGGGATGTAATGATTCCACGTTTTCTCTTCTGATGCTCATTCTGACACCTATTTCACTCTGATACTTCAAAGGGAAATTAAGAAAAGTTGAAAAAAGTTTGTAAAATTGCACTGTTACACAATAACAACAGTGATAAAGAAACAGTAACATAAATCAGTAATTACTGGCCAATACCCTATGTGTTAGTAATGGTGCTGATACTTACCCAGAGTATCAATACTAACTAGGGCTAGAGGTGGGCAACATATGTATATATACACAGACACACAATGAGACATATTTTACTTGTCAAGCATCAGACATTTCGCAATACCGTTTATACCGCAGCACCTATCCTTGAACACTGCACACACTGTTAGGTTAGCCAGGTATTTCATTTGCTCCATTAGCCCACACCACACAATTCTGGGTGGTTATTTAATCGATTAGCAATATTTAATTTATGTTCCAGGAAATGTTGTGTTATGATTAAGGGAATAAAATTGCACATACCGTGACAGAGGATTTTATCCACATCGTCCACCCCTAATTAAAAGTAAATCTTTTATGTATCCATGCAACCTCACATCTGCATCACATGCAGCAAGACCCAGTATACCAAGTTGTTATGAAATGTAACTAAATAATATAACATAATTTGTGTGTATGGGTAGATAAAAATGTACTTAACGCACTTGAAAAATTGTTGTACTTACAAATCCAAACCTGTAAAGCACAATAACTCCATACATAAAAAGTCAAAAGGAATCCACAACCACTCCTTCGCCCGCTGCTGTACATCAGAGCGAGATAAAGCCAATCCAAATCAACCTCTAGCCTTGTGTGAGTGGGACACACCCAGCATTTAAGCTTGAGAAGTCACTCTTCTAAAGATGATGTTCCGTTTTGGCTTGTTTAACCCAAACAACAGGACCGCCAGAGGAGCCACCTCGCTCCGCTGCTCTCTATTCTTAGCCATTTCCGTTAATAATATCCACAGTATTGTCTGTGGGGGCCTTGAGAAGCACCTCCCTTGACCTTCAGGAGGAGATCCTGTTTACCTTACAGAAGCTGCTGTCTCCAACCAGTGTCTCTCTGGAATACTCCACCGCCACCTTTCGCACCCCCACCGCCCCGAAAAACACACACCTACACATACACAACAAGAGTCGGGAGTTGGCATTCATCAGAGTTTCTACTTTGTTAGGAAACTGCAAAGGCGAGGAGTCAAGACGCCTAGTCTGATCCTTGAGCCAAATAAGCATTTTTAAACTGGCCCCAGTTCAGAGAAAACTTTTGCACTATTTTAGTGAAGTATCCTGGGCTGGGTAGCTAGTGTAGCAGCACACAACTGCACCCAGTAACTCAAATACTCACCAGTTTCAGGTGTTATCTGTGCTCCAGTGCCTGGTGATGACCCTGGTGGACAAGCCACTCTTCGTGTGTCCAAAACTCTTCATGGACCATTGCCTCTCTCATCGCCATGGGGTTGAACAGAAGACCTGACAAGGATACTGAGAGATGAAAATGTGGTTTCAACTTCCTTCAAGCAAACTCAGGAAGTGACAGATACACCTAAAGTTGCCTAACTTACATGCGTATTAGTGATACAAGTTATGTCTAAACTACAACATTTAACGATAAACAACGTGTGCCTTTACGGCTCGCACTTTAGTGTGCGCAATATATCGTGCTAGATGTGAGTAGTGTTGTCAGATACATGTGTTTATTTCGATGGAGGACCCGACTATCCATCAAGCCACCGCTCGTAACATTAGCATGGGATGTCTTTGTCATCTGGCTAGGTGGCTGAGCAAGCGCTTCTCTACAAACGTTAAAACCGGGTGTTATTATTACTATTTCTATCTCTATGCCATAAAATAACGTGACACACTGAATTTGGGGGGGTATAGTGATATCTGACAGCAAGCTACTTATCAGCAGCGACCACAAAGAAGCACAATTTCTGCTATTAAAACTGAGCTAGGCTGCTGTTAGCCAGTGGGCTAACCTAGCTAGCACCCGGCTCTCCCTGTTATCGGAAGTTTAACTTAACATCCTGGCAAACTGAAGTTAATACGACAGCGACACGTTGCTAACACCTATTAAAACTGATATGGGGTTTAACTTACAAAGTTTGGCGTGCTGCGGTCACATCCAACTCTACTTTAGTATAAATAGTTGCTAAAAAAAAATGCGTTCACTGTTGCTAGCTGTTGTTTTTTCCATCACCTCGGGGAGAGTCATTGTACAGCCGGGACGACGAGCGGCACTGTGGCGCCTTTTCACAAACATAGAGGAAGAGAGCTCTTCCTCTGCCTTTCTGGAGGAGAGGTGTTCATGTTTTTACTGTAAGGAGAAGAGCCTGTGTTTTGGATTGATCCCACGACAGCGTCAAATAGTGTGTTTTAGCTTCAGAGATGTTGTCATTGAGCTATTTGCGGATTGTGTGCTCACCTCGGGCACTGCTGACGAACCGACTCTGTGTTTATGAAGCTTTTACATGTTCAGCACATTGTATGTCTACCTGCTTCCCCAAGAAGGACATATGGCACAGCAACACGAACTTGGGAAAGGAAAGAAAGATTATTTACTACACAGATCGAGTCAGTTCACCCAGGTACTACTGCACAGGTCAAGTCAAAGTGAGCTGCTGGAATTGCAAACAGCCTCTGGGCAAAACACCTGCATTTTTCTGCATGTCATGCAAAGTAGTCCAGCCCCCTGATGAAGGGACATCCTACTTTAAAATTATGGATTGGTGAGTATCTTCCTCTATCCACTATGTTACTCACAGACATTTTATTTATGAATGCAGTCTGTGAGCAAAACGTTTCACGTGACCATGTGTTGCCTCTTTTCAGTGACTGCACATTCACACTGGACACACAAAAGCTGCAGAAAAGATACTTGCAGCTCCAGCGCTCTCTACATCCAGACAACTTCAGCCAGAAATCTGTGGTAGGGAGGGGGTTGTAAGAGGGGTTTTAAATAGAGATCAGTTGAGTGACATGGTTTGTGAGTCAGCTGAGGCTGTCCTATCTATTAGTACAAGTGTGACACAAGAAGTTGGGTTTGACCCCGAGTCCCTATTAGGCCACATGACTGTGCATTTTTGTTTTGTTAGTATGATTCATTGTGAGTTGGCCAAGGGAATAACTCCAGGCCAAGTTGAAAGATGGGTTTGTTAAAAGACATTGACAAATTTAGGCCCTCATAAGGCAGCTTTGCATATACAGTATAAACAAGGTCAAGGCAAGCACGTTCGGTGAGAAGATGATAGAGCATTAATTTAAGAAATGGAGGAGGGAAGTCAATTGGAAAATCTAGTAATAATATAGAGTACTAACAGCTTCATATACATTTTTTTTATAGTATGGTAAGTGATATTTGGGCTTATCAGGAAAAGCACAGGTGTATCTAATGATATTAATGGTGGCCAGTAATCCAGCATGCACAATACTATTATACTGTTTATTATATCTGTCCTTTTCCTGACATGTCAAGATGTCTACTGTGTAAAAGGTCTATTATAAAATGCTGTACATTGTATTTTAAAAATCTAAAAGGAGGAAAAAGAAATGAAGGTGAATTACCCCAATTTAAATAATAAAGGATATGTAATATTAAAACTTTTGCACAAACATGAGAGGCCAAAGGTGTGAGATGAATAAAGAACTGATTTAATGGTACATTTTAAGTGTGTGAAAGTGATTACAAGTTAATAAGTGAAAGTTAAAGTCAATTTCTCATATTAAGAGCTGAATTAACTTGCAGAGTTTTTTCTTTTTTTTTTAAGTTATTTTTACCGGAAAAATGAAAATATAGGGGAAAACTAATCTAGATCTCTTGATTAATCCATTAACCATTTTGTTTTTAAATTCTCAGAAAATGCATGTAAACATATATTTTGCCAAGAAAAATAAAATGTTAGTGACTCCAGCCGACAGAAAAGAGCACCTGTTAACTGAACTGTAATTTTAAGGGGTGCTCCATTGAGTTTACTTAATTACAAGTTGTCTGGAGTACCGTTGTATAATGTCTTCTATGGCTCTGGAGCAGCTTTGTCGAGTCAGAGAAAATAACTTAATGACATTGTGATGTCATCAGGGTTATTTCAGTTTAGGCTATGACCACAAATAACAGAAAGCCTGTTACAAACTGGGGAGTGGAGGACACGGCTGTTTACCTAGCAGGAAGGGTGTAACGAAAGGTGCTATCAAGTTGCATTATGGTCACAAAGACAGACATATATGTATACAAGCATAAAGACATACTATATACGGTATGTGCAAAACAGATGATGTGGGTTGAGAGCTTGATCCATACTAGGGAATAAAAGATATCTCAGCTTCCGCTGCTTTGAGTGCCCTTTTAAGAAATTATATATAATTTCCTCAGTAAAATGCACACAGCAAAATCATGGTGATGATAGGAAAGGAAAACGACAGGAAATAGATCTAATATTGGTTTGTCCACTTGGATGAAGCACTCACTCACTGCTCTTGAGGAAATACATTTGGTGTTCTCTTCTTCTTCACCTTTGATTTCTCACTGCTTATAGGCAGACAAGTGCACCAGAATTTTGTGTGGAAAAATAGGTTTGATGTACTTCATCAATCACATGCAGCCCAAAGCACAGTTAGGCTGGTGAGACAGGTAGGCCTATATTTTACATAAAAACCTCAACTAGTGCAGCTTTAAAAATATCACAGAACAAAACAAGACCTGCCTCAATGCATCTGACCATTTCAAAGTGGAATGTGTTTATAGATTATGTTACAAAGTAGTAAACAGTTGACAAAATGTTCACATTATCCAGTGTCCCCCGCGTGGATCGTTAAAAACAAAATTGCATGGCAGTTTAGAACAATAAGCATTATGAGTAGCGGAGGTGTGTTGCTTCGCACGTAATTTATTCTGTACACTCAGGTGGAAAAGCACAATGCAGAATGTTGTCATGATATGATATGAAAGCTAAACTCATATTCAGCAGACTGTGGGAGAGGAGGGGTAGCCTAAATGGTGTCTTCACACACAACCTGTCCAATATTGTACTGACTCTGTTTTATTTATCAGCACCTCTGGCCATTTTTTTCTTAATTAGACATCTTCTAGCCTCAGGGGTCTTCATCATATATAGAAAACTCATTACTTATACAAGGCTACGAGGCAGCCTCCTAGTGCACTGGTTGTTATTACAGAAACAGCTCCACACGATGGGCCCATGGGCCAGAGCTTGAGACTATTGATTTTCACAAGAGCTGACAGACCTGATAGCTGCAAAATGTACACGGATCTGCCAACCATTTCCAAGATATTTTCCTCCCCGACATGTTTCCCCACATCTGTCGTGTCAGACTTACACCTGCATCCCTTGAAGGGTCCCAAAATGCTCGAGTACAAAAGAGAAGCTGTATGTCATACACCTAATTGTCAGTATCACAAAGGATTTGGTGTGTAAAACTGACAGTGTATAGATTGGGATGGCGAGTGTAAAATAGCTCAGATGTTATTACCTTTCAAGACTGTTTGATTTGTTACCCTGGATAATGTGAATATCTGTTAGTCAAAATCACAATGATGCAGATTTTCTTTCCCTTTTTTAATGAATGCATATGGACTGAACTTTCCATCATTAGAAGCAAACTTAACAGAACCCTCTTTTGCAGAGAGAACAGGAATATTCAGAAATCCAGTCGGCTCTTGTGAACAAAGCATACAGGACTCTGCTTAAGCCTTTGAGTCGTGGTCTTTATATGGTAAGTTTGAAAGCCCTGACTTAACTTCTAATGAGTAGTTTATTTTCATAACTGCAAGCTCTCTCTCTGTCTGATCGCTTGTTCCAGACAAATATCTTCACCAGCTGACAGTCAAGAATAGTGACATGCATTTATAGGAGGAGTGGAGTTTAATGATCTTTCATCCTGCGTTTCAGCTGGAGCTGAAGGGGATGCGTATAGAAGAGGGTACTGACTCCAGGGCTGATTCTGAGTTTCTAATGGAGCTAATGGAGATCAACGAAGCCCTTGATGAAGCACATACTCCAGAAGAAGCCAATAAGATCGGCAGAGACACAAAAGGTTAATGCATATGTCTGTTCAATTCATTGAACAGTGAATTGAACTGGTTCAGTGATTTGAGCTGTTTGTTGATCATAAATTAGCACAGGAGGAGCATGTACCTGGTAAATTGGTGTCGACAAATCAGATATGTAGCTTTTTTTAGTAGTTCTATCGCTTTAGTAAATAATAAAATGAAACAATATAAGAAAGAAAAAAAACTGAACTGCACACTGACTGAGACATGCTTTGGGTTAAAGTTGTAAACAATGATAACAGCAAGTGTTGTTTAATATTACAGCCAACAGTCCTTGAGCAGTTAGAAATTCAACAAAGGAGCAACAGGTGTATCTGTTTACAGTGCAAACCAAAAAAACTGCATATATAACGTTAGGCAATTTGAATCTAAGGTGGAAATGGCGGACTCCGCCACTAACATGAAAACTAATGAAAACTACTATATAGAAAGGTAATTACAGAATGTAAATACATTGAATAGCCAGTGCAGAAAAATGTAAACCAATAGTTAAAAAAATGATGATTTCACAAATATATTCAGCATTATCATTATTATGATTATTATTATCATTATCATTATCATTATCATTATTATTATTATTATTAGTAGTAGTAGTAGTAGTAGTAATTATAACTACTAACTTACAGATCTGGCATAATTTGAAAATGTCAGACTAATGAATCATGCATACATGGTCTGTTTAATTTGTGTCCCAATTTTAAAAATAAAACATTTTATTATCTCCATGTGCTAGCTGGTGCACACATCAAACTGTTAACTATGTTTCTTTGATTTTTCTAATGTGGTTTGTTGAACTAACCGTGTCTCCTCACTTGCAGGGAAACTGACAGACTTGACAAAGGAGATAGACGCTGCCCTGCTTAAAGGTATTATATTCAGACACTGAATTGGAAACATTGTCTGTTCCTCCCACTCATTCCTTTGTTTGTTGTGTGATCTATGCTGAAACATGTCCTTTAAGTCACTCAGTGAGTCATTGATTGAACTTTCTTTTGCATTCTTTTTTTTTTTTTTATCAGGAGAGCTTCAAACTGCCAAAGCACTGCTTGCCCAAATGAAATACTATGCAAACATTCAGGAGAAAGTGAAAGAAAAACTTTCTGAATTCATGTAATTTCTCCCCTATTAAGTGTTCCTTTATTTTTTTTAAAAATTTAGTCACTTTTAAAAAGTTTTGTACAGAAGCACACAAATTATTGTACATTTATCTTGGGATTATGTAAATTTATTGTTCAATTTGAATAATAAAAAAACTTACTTGTAATGCATAATACACAACTGAATTAATGGTGATTTGTACTTGATCTGCTATTTTTTTTATTAAAGCTGTATAGATACGAGGGTGTAATTGGATGCATACAGTATCCCCCATGAATTCCACTAATTTCAAATGCCTAATCATATCCACTTGTACCTAATGCATCATTAGATATGACAGAGATCTATAATAGGCTCTGATTAAAATGCTGCTCAGAGTGTTTATATGATTATCCTGCCTATCAGTTCAGCATTTGTCATGTGGGACTCACACACAGACACAGGGCTCTCAATCAGTTCCTCAGGTTACCTTTAGGTGGAGACATAACACCTTGACAATCATCATGCAGAGGAGCAGAACATGTTGTACAAACTGGATATGAGACCAGAAGGAAGTCCTTTATTGAGGTAGACAGCCTATTGAATTATTTATGGTGGCTTCATATGTAGCATTAATGCTATGATAATCAGGAAGGCCCCACTGAATGATGATCACTTGATGAGCCAAAGATTTGTGATCTGTGTAATTTCCAGCTCATAAATTGATGTACACTGACCCTGCACCCCTATGCTTGCAGCAAACTGAAATTTGCATCAGAATGTAAATCCATCCATTTCCTTAAGTTAAGTTTTACATTTTTTCTCTTAAAACCATAGAAAATAATTGTCATAATCTATAATTACTTTGAAAATTGAAGCTCCAGTCACATGAAGGATTTTGATCTGAGAAAGTGATACAGGTTTAATCACTCTTAAATATGGAGAATGTCACTTAATCTGATAGCAGAAAGTGAACCATCAGATCACATATCATATGGAAAATTACACACATTAGCTTCACAACCTACACCATTTTGTGTGTATTAGTGGTTTTACACTGACACTGTTTCGCTGTGCCCCACAGCCCATCCCACTGTAACACATCCTGACTGGTTGTTTATTAAGTCTGGAACAACAATGTCATGTGTCTGAAGCTGTTTCGGTTTTTTACCTTGGAGAAGCAGTTCCCTTAATACACATGGATAGACAGTGAATTAAACAGGGCTTCTCCCACCAGAAGGAGACTAACAGGCCTATTTATTATTCATGTCGTAATCGGAAGGCATCTACGGCGCCTTTAAATTAATGAGAAAATCTGATCGACCAACACTGAGGCCACTGCTGTCTCCCAGAACTCTTTGAAATTGAGTTTGAAAGAGACGAAAGGGGAAAAAAACTCACCACAGCCAGGCTGTGAAATTGACTTGGATGGGAAAGCTGGGCAAAATGAACTAGGTACATAGGACCACCATGCAGCTTCTGGAATGAGTTAGGTCAGCATCAGGCACACTACACAAGTTACTGCTGCTGTAGGAGTGTTTACTTAGATATACTGATCATGGCTCAGTGAGTTAATTCAGATATTCTGAACAAGCCTACATGAACCACTAAATGGAATTCCTCGTAGTTATGTTACTTCCTGCAGTAGTTTTCATGTTGAGAGTAAAATGTGAATGGCGATAACACTCTCGTGTCTGTCCACTAAATGGGAAACTACAGGCAGTAGCTGATTTGCTTAGCTTAGCATAAAGACTGGAAATAGTTTGGCCCTATTTACAGGGAGTGTTTGGGCATTCTGAGCTACTGTAGAAACATGGCAGACCCTACGGAAGGTGACCCAAAGCCTCTGTAGATAAAAACATCTTATTCTGAGGTAACAAAAACTCAACAATTCCTATATCCAGGTGATTATACACTAATTAAAACATACCTATTAATATTATCTTTAATTTATGCCAGTAGATCCTCCTAAATGTTGCACAGTGGACCTTTTAATCTTATTTATTTATTTTGTACAAAAACCAAAGTGTGTGCAGCAGTGACAGTAACTTTTGTTAGCTTCTTCACCAAGCTAGCTGTGTCCCCTTGTTTCCAGTCTTTATGCTAAGCTAAGCTAGCCAGCTGCAAGCTGTAGATTCACATTTAGTGGACAAATATGAGGGAGGTATTGATCTTCGTGTCTGAAGCTCAGCAAGAAAGGTAATACTGTGGAAGTAGTGTCTACGTGCATTAATACCTAAATATTTCCTTTCATTTATTTGGAATTGTGTAGTAGATGGGGAATATTTTGTACTGTCAAGAATCTTCCCTTTTTATTATAGATGTTGTTCTTTTGCAACTCAAATTGGGATCTGTGTGAATTATTCTAGGTGTACTGGGCAAATGGTGCAACTTGAACAATCCCTGAAGAACAATTTTACCTGCATTAAGGTGTCTAAATAAGCCCCCAACAACGTGACTAATAGTGCATGTCATAATTGCTAGTATTAATCATCTCTGTATGGCCTTAACATAAATATCATAATAAGATTAATGTGGTCTTGTGACCCATGTCTTAATCATAATGTTCTCTTAATCACATTAAGACTTAAATGTAAACACAACTGCAGTACTCTTGACAGAAACCCAATGGGAAAATTATAGACTATTTGGCTTATAATGATTAACTACAAACACAATATGACTTAAACTATGGATACAAACAGTAGCTAATGAATGGCCTGATTGACAAGGGTCTAAACCAGTGGAGGATGACTCACTGGAGCTGAGCAGCAGTCTATAATTCTCGCCCCTCTGCTCAGCTGGTATGTGACTCAGCTGTTGATTGTCAGTCCCATCATCCCACAGACACCTCAAGCCTGCTGTGTGTACTCGTATCTCACCAGGTAGTAATGCCATTATAATCTGCCACTATTAGGCTTTCTTCCTGCCCTTAATCTGTTTTTTATGTTGTTTGCCTCATCTTCTTACCACGCCATGTCTTCGCCTCTCCATAAAGCTCCTGAACTATAGCCTACTTTGAAACCTGTTACTCTACTAATAGTTTTTTTTACTCCTTCCTCCTTCCTCCTTTGCTTAGATTTGAATGTGCATGTTTTGATATAGTTTTCAGTGTGATCCCACTCTTACAACTTGGTGACACTGTGTAGACATTCTACACAGGAAAGGATTAAGAACACAGTAGTAATTTACCCTGATTGTGACATATGTCTGCTAACGTGATATTATACAATGAAGATATTGGAAGCTGGCAGCACAGAAAAAATACTGATCTTTTTTTCCTTTTTGCATTTTAAACAAGCGTTTAAGTATTCATACATTTTCTCAAAGATAGGCTCCATTTTCTGCTTATTGTTAACATCTTATCTTCACCTTTAATTGGGAATCAGTTCATTAGAACTATGGATGTGATATCTCAAGCACTCCAGATTGCTTTGTTTTTTTTCTCCCTTATTGAATGTAATTATGGTTCAAATCAAAACACACTTTGACAATAACCGCCTTTCTTCCCGGCTACATGTTTGTGGGGATAATTCCCGGAGGTGTGAGCCTCACTGCAGCAGGCGAGCAGCTCCTCTAAGCTTTTGATATAGGCCCTGCTGAGAGATTTCTAGGGGGAATCTTTTCTCTCCTCAGCAATACGAGGCACAAGGCCTCTGCATTTAGACAAAGCATGTCTGTGTGTTTGTGCACACATGGTTGTATGTGTTTGTGCAGACCAGAATCAAGAGCTGCCCTATCTTCAAATCCCTTTGACATCCTAGGATGGGTAATCGGCCCACCAAAAAGCTGTTGTCAAGTAATCCCCTTATCAATTGCCTTCCTCTGAACCTCTTGTCACATGTATTCCTCCAAATGATATTGGATTTGATCTGGTTCACTGCACCAATCAAAACCATTTGCTGTTGTGTAGCAATCATGTCCCATAGTTCACATCGTGTTACTGTATATTTCAGGATTTGATGGTTGTTTTTTGTGCTCTATTTTCACAATTCAAATCAGTCTCATTTCCCAAATTTGCCACTGGTGCACAGTAGGTTTCTCTTGTCAACCAAAACAAATTCATGATCCAGCTACTGGTTGTGGCTGCGCAAAAGCCTGTATTGCTAGATGTCAACATATTCTGTGGCATACATTCCTAATAATGGGGTCGCTAATGTAACTCTGCTTTCTCTACTGAAATGTTAAGGAAAAGTGTTCAAACAAACCCAATCTTCTCTTTCTAGTGCTTGTACAGGAAACTTATTTCAAACTGAGCATATAGCATTCATATTCTACAGCTACAGTTCTTTAGATTGGAGGTGTGGCAATGCAAATTAAGGAGAACCATTGGGGGCAGATTGATATGTTGTTTGCATCTAGAAAGTCAAATAGTCCAAAAAAAAACAAATATCAAATGTCTGAAATGTTTACAACTGTTCTGAGGAGTATAATCCCCAAGGAAAAAGAGGGGTCCAGTTTTAATTAAACATCTGTGAAGCAGCAGGCTGCGGGTGGATCTGCAAGTTTACAGGGATTTTTTTTGGCGCTCGGCTCTACCATTGAAACACCAGGAGATATTGCTTCAAAAGGCTCCTTTGTGGTTCTTGAGTTTGGAAAGCCTTTGAAGACGAAGAACCAGGGGTTTTAAACAAGGTTTATGCGTGTGGAAACACAGATCAGCCATTCACTTTCAGCTGAGTTGAGTGTAAAAACCGCTCGCCTCTGGTGAGATTGCTCTTCTCACCTTATCTCCTCTGCTATGCTGCAGATAGTCCCCGCTGCCTATCTCACAGCAATCACATTGTCCACGGTTCAGATACGGCCTGTTTGTTTCTCATTTCATATGAATACCTTACACAGTGTTGAAACACTGGATTCCACTCTGATTCCACTCTGACATTGTGGCTCTCACCTGACTTAAAGCTAAAACTTTTGTACTCCCTGCACTACTTGGTGCATGTTCTTGTCTGTCTAGCAGCCTAATAAAGACATCAACACCAAGTGCATACTGTGATCAGAAGAAACAAAAAGAAACTTCTCATCATGCTGCCCCATATATTAAAATATTTTTAGCTTTTCTTTATATAGGTCATAGATTGTTTCTACTGTCGTAGTTTTTATTAATTTGTCAGGCACCTGTGAGGCACTTTGACCTGCACTAACCTGTGTGAAAGATTCTTTACGAAAAAAGATTGATTGAAATAGATTAGCTAATT